CTCACTCACCTCATCTAGATACATTAGCATCATGAAAACTGTGAGTGAGTGAGAGAGGCGGCACAGGAGGGTGACAAGCACGCGTCTTACCAGGGCCTCTGAGATTCCACACAACAGTCTCTTTGGAATAGGTATTTCAGGGTGAGGAAGGGTGAAGGAGGTGTGGGGGGAGGGGTGTGGGTGGTGAAGGGAAGCGTACCACTATGGGGGAGGGGTTGAGGAAAGTAAAGGAGGCATGTTCTCACCCCATCTCTATCCCCTCACCCCATCTCTATCCCCTCACCCCACTCCCCCTCCTGGACCCTGAGGAGGCAGTACAGTGTATGGAGAGGGTGTGAGTGAGCAGGAGGGGAGGGAGGGTGGAGGAGGGGTATTCTGGGCGTCACTAGATGGGGTGTGTTGGGGGGGTAGAGTGAGGGGTGCAAGAGGGGGTAGAAGGGAGGTGAGCTGTACCCCTCGGTGATCAATACTGCCCACGCGTCAGGCCAGCCCGGCCCCAGTGCCACCTACACACACACACACACACACACACACACACACACACACACAAAGCCTCCCCCACGCCACGCGCCGCCATGCCCACTTCTACGACTTCAGCCCAAGAGGCACCCATTAACCCACCACCCTCACAGCCCACCATCCTAACAGTGACCCACCACCCACACACTGACCCACCACCCTCACTGACCCCCCACCCTCACACTGACCCACCACCTCACACTGACTACCACCCCCTCACACACTGACCCCACCACCCTCACACAGACCCACCACCCTAACAGTGACCCACCACCTCACAGTGACCCACCACCCCTCACACTGACCCACCACCCTCACACTGACCCACCACCTCACACTGACCCACCACCCCCCTCACACTGACCCCACCACCCTCCACACCCACCATCTCCCACTGACCCACCACCCTAACAGTGACCCAACACCCTCACACTGACCCACCACCCTCACACTGACCCACCCTCAAAATAGCTCACCAAAAGCTAAGGCCTAACCTAACTTAACCAAAGTACAGTACAGTATTTCAAGACATTATTTCACAGGTTGTTGTTGAAGGTAGTGGGGCGTGGGGTTGGGTGACTCAGTTCTCGGTGAGTCAATGGGAGTCACAGGGAGATGGAGTGTGGATAGTCGGTGAGTCTGAATCACTCTCTTACTCTCACACACACACACACACACACACACACACACACACATCATGATCATGCAAACATTTTAAGACCTCTCAGTTAGGTCAGTCTCGAGTGAATCATAACGTATAAATTTTGTAACATCTGTAATAATTACTTTTATATCAATTAATTTGTCGGCTATATTTGATCCTAAAAAACGTGTGTGTGTGTGTGTGTGTGTGTGTGTGTGTGTGTGTGTGTGTGTGTGTGTGTAAAATAATATAACAATGTATGAATGTATGTATGTATGAATGTACCTTTACCCAATACACAGCATCTTCCTCCCTCCCTACCTCCCACGCTGTATGAGAGATGGTGAGATCAGCTGAAAGTCCCCTCTACCATCTTCCCCTCCCACCCTCACCCCTCACACTACCCCCACCTCACCCCTCACTCTACCCCCCACCTCCACCCCTCACCCACCCCACCTCACCCTCACTCTACCCCCACCTCACCCCCCCCCCCCACTCACTACCCCCACACCTCACCTCACCCTCACTCTACCCCCCTCACTCTTCACACCCCACCTCACCCCTCACCCCCTCCACCTCACCCTACTCTACCCCCCACCTCACCCCTCACTCCTACCCCCACCTCACCCCCCTCTACCCCCCTCACCCACCCCCCATCACTCACCCCACCTCACCCCTCACCTACCCCACACTCTACCCCCCACCTCACCCCTCACTCCCCCCCCAACCACCTCTCCCCTACCCCACCTCACCCCCCACCTTCCACCCCACCCCACCCCCTCTACCCCCCCACACCCCTCACTCACCCCCCCCCACCCCTCCCTCCCCACCTCACCTCACCCCCCTCACCCAATCAATACTGCCCACTCCCTCACACAAGATCGAAATGCTGGCGTCAGAGCTGCCCTTAGTGGTGGTGGAGGAGGAGGAGGAGGAGGAAGAAGATAATGGAGGGAGGAGGAGGAGGAGGAGGAGGAAGAAGATAATGGAAGGAGGAGGAGGAGGAGGAAGAAAGACACGGCACAATCCAACTCAACAAATTCCATAATATTACGTTTTGTGTGAGAGAGAGAGAGAGAGAGAGGTCAGTAATGATCACCAGTTAACGATACACCTGGTGATATTGTCAGGTGAAACTGGACCAGTCCTACAAGACCCCAGTCCTAATAAGCCCCGGTTATTAGGCACCGATGTATTATTATTATTATTTTTATTATACATAATCTCAATAGTTACAGCACAGACAACGACCTGGACTTACAGACGACACAGATATGGCGTCTGGAGAGAGAGAGAGAGAGAGAGAGAGAGAGAGAGAGAGAGAGAGAGAGAGAGAGAGAGAGGAAATAATATAAATTGACTGGTTGACTTCAAGGAGAGTCAGCTGAGTGGCGTCATCAAGCATTACACCCCCCACACCCCCCAAGCACGTCACGGTTGCCACTCGTGTTTTTTTTTTTTATCTGCAGCGTTGCTCTAAACATACAGTAAATCCTCTCTCTCTCTCTCCTTTTTACACACCAGAGAGAATTTCGCTACACACTGCCTTTTGATAATAAAAAAAATTATGAGAAATTACAGATAAGGTGACAATGTCGCGTAAAAATAATATAATAATAATTCGACACCAATATAGTCCTTGTAGAACGCATCTAAAAATCTCTCTTTGCTGGAAGTATATATAAAACTGTCTTAACCACTTGCTCAAGAGGTTTGCTCTACTTTCTCACATTTATACTGACAAATAATTACGTGGCGAGGAATAACATGGCAGGCACCAAGTGTTACAGAAAGCCACCATGCTGGAAACTGACCATAAAACACTAACACGCAGATTTATCAAGACGCACACTTCAAATATTTCCAAACAAACTATCGAAACATTATATAAGGAAGACTAAGAGGTAGAGGAGGAGGAGGCAGGAATAGTGTCGACCGAAATAAAACAAAATACAAACTAGGGCAAGTTGTCATGGTGGCTGAGTAGCATCTTACCACCAACTGCTATCTTAAACATCTCCTTCGCTGCGAGTTCCACATATCTCCCTAACCTCCCGGATCACCTTACACCAATAAATTTACCGCATTTCGTATTATTAACATACTAATGTAGAAGAGAAGGAAAGATTGGCGTGTGTGTGAGCAGAAATGTACGGGTATAGTGTAAGACTGTGGCGTAGTTTTCCATGCACCAATAAGCTCCAGGAAGACGGTGGTGCAACACTTGGTTATTGTGGAGCCTCGAGCGACCACTGCAGGCTCTGGGCACCACTAGTGAGAGCTAAACTACCTCCTGGTGTACACTGTTAGGGGTACACAGTTTACAAATTTCGTGGTATACCCGTACTGTCTGTAACTCATGAAACAATGTAAACTTGTGTGGTTAAGTTTCCTGAATCGTTATCTATCTTTCTGTATATCAATCAGTATGTTTTACCTACTTTATCTTAAGCCGTCGCCATGTATGATTTACCAGCAATGAGTACTGTAGTAGTAGTAGCCTTTATCACCCCCACCTCCACCGCCCTCCACACCCAAGTCTATCACTCTCTCCCTCCCTCTCACTCTCTCTCCCTCTCACTCTCTCACTCTCTCTCTCCCTCCCTCTCACACCACGCCACGCGATAATTACAACTTTAAAGCCAGGAAGGAGCACCTTATAAGTACCGTATACTGTATCCCTCACTGCTGATGATTTGTATATGAAATTGCTTCTAAAAGTAATGTTTTAAAGATATCAAATAAAATATCAAAAGTATTAAGTAAAGTTTTAAATGCATTAAGTAAAGTTTTAAAATATTAAGTAAAGTTTTAATATTAAGTGAAGTTTTAAAGTATTAAGTTAATTATTATATAGTCTCAAAGTATAAAAAGAATGCATTAAAATATTCAGTAAACTATAAATAAAGTTACAAAAGCAGTAAGAAATGTTTTAAAGTATTAAGTCAACTATTATATAAAGTTTCAAAGTATTAAGTCAACTATTATATAAAGTTTCAAAGTATTAAGTCAACTATTATATAAAGTTTCAAAGTATTACGTCAACTATTATATAAAGTTTCAAAGTAATAAATAGTATTCTCCCCCCCCTCCCTCCCACCCCTTAAAATAAGTTACGACCCAATATTCTTAATAACTTTACGGCTGTTGGACGATTATGTCAACACAGTCCCGTCCATCCTCTATTTAACGGACTGTATGGAGTGGAAAGTCCGTTATATTGACGGTCCGTTAGATGTGAAACCTCCAACTAATGAATTATAGAGACGAAAGTCCGTTATATGGAGGTTTCATTGTAATGAGATCAAACTTAAATTTACTAGTTGTCTTAAGTTAACTTTAGCTTTCATTAGCCTTTTCTTGGGTTGATTTAGCTGTTGATAGTGGAGCAACATGGACAACACGTGACTAAATCAAAGCTCAGCTACGATATGGTTATACTCAATAACATCAACCAGGCCTTATCAGATACGAGTTTGTTTAGCTGTTGTAAGTTAAAACAAAGTTATACCAAAGCTAACATTTGGGTTGGTTTAGCTTAATCACATACTGGATACACAAGGCTATATTTTATCAACAAACTTTTAAAGACACCTGACAAGCTATGCTAAAGTTGAGTACAATATTTTTTATCTGTTGTTTAGAGATGTTAAGTAAAGCTACGTTATGTGTAGACAGTGAGATGTGAAGCTAAAAGGTACTCTGTATGCGGGTATCTGTTAGCTGTAGAGTGACAAGTGAAGCAAAAGTTTTAAGCTACATGTAGGTACTTTGAGGTGTGTCCAGTGAGAGGTGGGAGGCAGAGATTGACACACACACTGAAGGCAACAGAGCTCACCTTCTTTCTCTCTTTGGGCGGTGTTGAGGTGTCAGTGGTGGGTGAGGAATTGGTGGTCTCTGGCGTGGGCGGACTGATGTGGGCGTTCTGAGCAACGTGGGCGGCATGGGCGACGTTCTTCATGACGGTGGCGGCGAGGGTGATGGGCGTGAGGAGTCCTGGTACAGGCGTCACCAGGCCTGGGGGCGTGGGCAGGGGCTTCATCTTAGGCAGGATCCTCGGGAGGTCATCCAGGGATTTGAACTTCTTGGCTGGGGGCGTGGGGGACTCTGTGCTGCTGGTGAGTGTGGGCGGCACTATGGTGGGCGTGGTGGTGGCGTTGGTTAGGGGCAGTGGGGGCAACTGCTTCTGTTGGTGCTGCATGGTAGGAGTACAAAACTTTCGTTCCATGGCCTCCAGGATCTTGGAGGACTCCTTGTGTCTCTCCGACGAGTCAGACAGCCCCTTGATCTGGAGACACTCTGCCGTCTTGAGGAAGGAGGAGAGGTCGTGCTGGTGGACGTTGATCTCCCCCCGGTACATGAAGGAGAGCAGCGCCTCCAGGTCCCCGGCACGCACGTCCCTCATGAAGATGATGGGATGTTTACAAGGGTTGCCGAGGAAGAGCGCCTGGAAGTAGGGGCTGCACGCTGACAGGATCACCTTGTGGGCGGCGAAGGTGCGGCCGTCACAGGCGAGGGTGACGTCGGTGAAGGCCTCCTGCTCGTACAGCTGGTCGAACACCGTGACCAAGTTACTCTGGTGGTTGTTCCACTTGAGAAGGAACCGCTCGGCCTCCATCCTGCCGCTGCCAGCTGGCCCGGTAGCTGGTCCTGCAACACAAACATAACAAAATTAACTATTTGGTCCTGTAACACAAACACACCAATATAAATCATCTGGTCCCGCAACACAATATATAGTTATAAATATCACCGACATTTTTTAAGCATTTCCACCACTCTTATAAAGTTAAACATATATATCAACACACATAAGCATCCTAGGTAGTGATGAAGCCACCACACAGCACACCTGCCTTACCTAGCGTACACCAGATCAGGTCCATCCTTCATACAGGAGACAACCTCGCTACCAACACCTTGTTCAGTAAGACCTCAGAGGACCTAACGATTTCCCTGAGTTTGGGGTCTTAAAGACAGACCTCAGACTCTTCTTGGACACTTTAGGGACTGAGAACATGTCCTTAAGTATCCAGAGGTCGACCCTAAAAAGATTCCTGCAGCGAGCCCCCCAAGACAGTGTCAGCCAGCGAGCTCCTTAACTACGTCCGCTGGTACAGTCCTGAGAAACACCACCAGCGACTACCTCCTGCTCCGGCCAGCTCCCTACTGCACCCGCCACTACCCTCCCTCTCCACCACGTAAACTTGGGTGATGGTGGAGACACATGCCCACGGGAAGCCTCCAGGGACCTCACTCACCCCACCACCAGGAAAGTCTTGCCTGATATACACACAACTTAGCTGGAGGCAACAACTCTGTACCCAGATGGTAAGGTGGCCAAACTGTACCCACGTGTCCTCAGCCTCCCAATGTGTCATCAGCCCCCACGTGTCCTCAGGCCCCATGCCCGCGTGTCCTCAGGCCCCGTGTCTACGTGTCCTCAGGCTCCCTGCCCACGGGTCATCAGCCCCCTGCCCACATCTCATCAGCCCCCTGCCCACGTGTGTCCTCAGGCTCCCTGCCCACGGGTCATCAGCCCCCTGCCCACATCTCATCAGCCCCCTGCCCACGTGTCATCAGCTCCTCTGCCCACGTGTCATCAGCCCCCTGCCCACGTGTCATCAGACCCCTGCCCACGTGTCATCAGACCCCCTACAAAGAAAGATACACCAATATTGAAGTGATAACCGCGGTAACATTATGAGATGTTCTTATTACCACCATGCTATTGTACTATTCCAGATGATACTAATGTTACATAATACTTCCTTGAGATAAATGTATAGTATATATCAGGTGCCTCAAAGAGAGTTCAGGTTCTCAACTGGCTCAGCCATGTTAGTATTGTTATTATTAGCCACTCTGTATCTGTGTTTTTCTGGCTAAATAAACTGTTTCAATTAATCAATCAAACTAAAACTTTCATATTTTCCGGGTAGAAAGTTTGTGGAATTGTGTGTGCGGATGCCGTAGAGTTTATTGAGGGGTTAAACGGGAAACTTTTATATACTTAATGAAAGTTTTAATAGCAAACTTTGGCGTAAATATTAAAAAGTTTTGATTTGGACTTTGACTTTAAAGTAGAGTGAACAACTGTCCACAATCTTGTAATATTTTTTATTTGTATACACATTGCCATAAAATATCCCGGTGTGGAACAACTTACCCCCACCCATCCCAGCAGACTACGCTCCCTTCCTTTAAATCATCTCTTAAAAAATATCTATTGTCTAAGTATTAATATTTCTTGTAACACCTACTATATTTACAGTACCTGTTTTTATTGTACCATCAAAACCGTTTTATCGGAAATTATCATGTAAATAGATAAGTAATTACCATTGCAATAAACATAATTGCTAACTACAGTAGACATAATCCTGACAGCTCTGTCCTCTTGTTCAACCTTATTACTGTACACCCCAGGTTGTACTGCTCCCCCATTATACTTAGGTTCTTCAATTCCACTGTAATTTATGTATATGCCTATAATATAAAAAAAAATAAACTAAAAAAATATATATTAATAAATAAATAAAATAAATATTGAAGTGATAACCGTGGTCATATTATGAGATGTTCTTATTGCCACCATGCTATTGTACTATTCCAGATGATACTAAATGTTACATAATACTTCCTTGAGATAAATGTATAGTATATATCAGGGGCCTAAAAGAGAGCTCAGGTTCTCAACTGGCTCAGCCATGTTAGTATTGTTATTATTATCCACTCTGTATCTGGGTTTTTCTGGCTAAATAAACTGTTTCAATTCAATTCAACGACACCTATCATAACACCCCTCACATGACAGCCATCATAACACCCCTCACATGACACCTATCATAACACCCCTCACATGACAGCCATCATAACACCCCTCACATGACACCTATCATAACACCCCCACATGACACCCACACATAACACCCCTACATGACACCCCCACATGACACCCCTACATAACACCCCCACATAACACCCCTACATAACATCCCCACATAAGACTCCTACATAAGACCCCCACATAACTCCCTCATAACATCCCCACATAAGACTCCTACATAAGACCCCCACATAACTCCCTCATAACATCCTTGACCACCGGAGGGTCAAGACCTATCAGGCACTCTGCGCAGCTGTCTCCCTTGGCAAATGTTCGGCCCCGTTCCCCAAGTCCTCTCCCCGACCCATCCTCACCACCGGGATATCAACATAATCAAAGGTGACAATTTCGCTTCGGAAAGAAGTGGGACCAGTGTTGAACAGTGATGAACAGTGTTTAAGCCAGTGAATTTAGCACTAGACAGTACCAGTGAGAGCTGTGACCCACCAGTGAGATAAGCACCCCTGGGAACCATCCTCTGACCAGACGGTGTTAATCCGTCCACCCTGGGAACAACAGTGGGTCGGCTTTACACCTGACTACGAGATAACACAACACCACCGAGCAGAGAGAGTGAGGCAATGTGAAACCACCCCACCACCCGGTGTCTCCATGACCACGTGAGGTCCTTCATATCAACACCCGAGGACGAGTCACGTGAACACCACACCACGCGGTGTCTCCATGACCACGTGAGGTCCTTCATATCAACACCCGAGGACGAGTTACTATACCACGTGAACACCACACCACACGGTGTCTCCATGACCACGTGAGTCCTTCATATCAACACCCGAGGACGAGTCACTACACCACGTGAACACTACACCACGCGGTGTCTCCATGACCACGTGAGGTCCTTCATATCAACACCCGAGGACGAGTCACTACACCACGTGAACACTACACCACACGGTGTCTCCATGACCACGTGAGGTCCTTCATATCAACACCCGAGGACGAGTCACTATACCACGTGAACACTACACCACACGGTGTCTCCATGACCACGTGAGGTCCTTCATATCAACACCCGAGGACGAGTCACTATACCACGTGAACACTACACCACACGGTGTCTCCATGACCACGTGAGGTCCTTCATATCAACACCCGAGGACGAGTTACTACACCACGTGAACACCAGTGTGAGGTAACAGTGTGAGGTAACAGTGTGAGTGTCTGAGGTAACACCTACCTGTACCCAGACACTACACCCACCTGTACCCGGGCACTACACCCACCTGTACCCAGACACTACACCCACCTGTACCCGGGCACTACACTCACCTGTACCCGGGCACTACACTCACCTGTACCCGGGCACTACACCACCTGTACCCGGCACTACACCCACCTGTACCCGGGCACCACCCACTCACCAGACACTACACCCACCTGTACCCGGGCACTACACCCACCTGTACCCGGGCACTACACCCACCTGTACCCGGGCACTACACCCACCTGTACCCGGGCACTATACCCATCTTTGTGTACGTGGTGTCCATAGGGTGTACTTGCGGTAGTGTGTACAGAGTGTCGTGTGTATGTACATTATGGGTATCCGGTTTTAACTACAAAGTCACAAAATACGTCATGTGCGTGTTATTTGTGCACATGTTGACAAAATACGTACATGGCATCCTACTTCCTGTACATGTCGACTCCTGTACGTCAGTTGTGTGTACGTGTTTTATGTGCACATCATTGATTTCATAATACGTACACGTCAGTAGTGTGCACATAAAGGATCCCAAGATACCGTGAACGTTAGGTGTGTGCACATTATACACTTCCGTTTTTCGTGTACGTAAATATGTGCACATACAACCAAGCCTTCTGTATATACAGTTTAGCCGCACATGTACACGTGACCGTAGCGAGCTGCCGGTGTTGACCGTGGAGCCACGTACGTTGTGGCCGGTGCCTGTTGTGACCGGTGCCTGTTGTGGCCGGTGCCTGTTGTGGCCGGTTTCTGTTGGGCTGCTGGTGCCTGTTGGCTGGTGCCTGTTGTGACCGGTGCCTGTTGTGGCCGGTCTGTTGTGGCCGGTCCTGTTGTGCCTGTTCTTGCCAGGCTGGTCTCTGCCAGGCCGGTGCCTGTTGTGGCCGGTGCCTGTTGTGGCGGCCTGGTCCCTGCTGGGCTGGTGCCTGCTGGTGCCTGTTGTGGCCGGTTCCTGTTGTGGCCGGTGCCTGTTGTGGCCGGTTCCGTTGTGGCCGGGCCTGTTGTGGCTGTGCCTGCTGGCTGGTCCCTGTTGTGGCCGGTGCCTGTTGGCTGGTCCCTGTTGTGGTCCCTGCAGGCCGGTGCCTGTTGTGCTTGGTGCCCGTTGGCCGGTTCCCTGTTGTGGCCGGTGCCTGTTGTGGCCGGTGCCTGTTGTGCCGGTGCCTGCTTGGGTGCCTGTGCCGGTGCCTGTTGTGGCCGGTGCCTGTTGTTGTGCCCGGCTGGTTCCTGCCAGCCGGTGCCTGTTGTGGTCTCTGTTCCCGTCCTGGCGGCCGGTGCCTGTTGTGGCCGGTGCCTGTTGTGGCCGGTTCCTGTTGTGGCCGGTGCCTGTTGTGGTGCCTGTTGTGGCCGGTTCCTGTTGTGGCCGGTCCTGCTGTGGCCGGTGCCTGTTGATGGTCCTGTTGGGCTGGTTCCTTGCCGGCGAGTGCCTGTTGTGGCCGGTGCCTGTTGTGCCGGTGCCTGTTGTGGCCTGTGCCTGTTGTGGCCGGTTCCTTTGTGGCTGGTGCCTGTTGTGGGCCAGTCTTGCTGGGCCGGTTCCTGTTGTGGCTGGTGCCCTGTTGTGCGCTCATGTGCCGTGCCTGTTGTGGCCGGTTCCTGTTGTGGCCGGTGCCTGTTGTGGCCGGTTCCTGTTGTGGTCCCTTGTGGCCGGTGCCTGTTGTGGCCGGTGCCTGTTGTGGCGGTTCCTGTTGTGGCCGGTGCTCTGGCTGGTGCCTGTTGTGGCCGGTCCTGTTGTGGCCGGTGCCTGTTGCACCTCTCACACCGGCTTATCTTACCCCCTGTGGTCCTGTACCAATAGCTTTACCCGGTACTGTACTGTGCTGTACTGTAATTGTACTGTACTGTACTGTACTGTACTGTACTGTATCAGTTGTGCTACATACATTATCTGTCTCTCACAGGTGGTGTGGTTACATCAAGTGTAGCTTAGTTTAGGTTCAGTCTCCGGGCTCGGCTATCATTGACGCTTTGAACACTGAAGCTTCGCTGAGCCACGGTTGAGGCTTCACGGTTGAGGCTTCACGGTTGCTTGGCTGTGGAAGGCCATGGGAAGAAGGTGAGGTCGTGGTACAACTTCCAACATTGTCAGGTGATCATGACTGCGGCACCTGAGTTAAACATAACCTGGTGATGGTGACGTAACAAGCCATGATGACGTAACAAGCCATGGTGACGTAACAAGCCATGATGACGTAACAAGCCATGGTGACGTAACAAGCCATGGCGATCCCAGAGATTTAAATACCACTTTCCCACTGCCCGAGGCTGGTGACTGATGGCTGACTGACAGGTGTCTGACTGATGACTGACTGATGACTGACTGGTGACTGAATTGATGACTGACAGGTTAGAGCAATGAGCCGTCACAATTACGTTCAGTCAACACATGTATTATAGTGAGTTTTTTCCCAGCTGACAAGAGATACCCGCCCTCCTCAAGAGTTACAGCTGATTGTCTGTTCCAAATTGTCCTGCAGTAATGATGTTTAGCTAAATTATATAGATACATACATTCATTATTTCAAACATAAGCTCGTAGGAAGTTTATCAGAAGTATTATACAGGAATTAACTGTGGTAACAAATGCTTATATGAGCGATAGGGGTTGGGTGTAAATGGGACTGACCAGTGGTGCTCGCTGCAGTGTCCCCCGTGTTCATAGCGTCACTACACTCTTAACTAACCACAGACACCACTAATATATTTCATACAATGGCAATAACTTTCTCATCATCTTGCTCAACACACACACAGATACACACACATGTAGACACACTTAAAACACACACACACACACAGACACACTTAAAACACACAAACACACATACACCCACACACATTCACACAAACACACACACATACACACAGGCAGACACACTTATAACACACACACACATGCAGACACACACATACACACAAACACACACACACACACATGCAGACACACTTAAAACACACAAACACACACACACACACACACACACACACACACGTTACAGGCATGGACTACGGAGAACAAGGTCACCATCAACCACACCAAAACCGTAGTCATGCACATCAATACCGCCACCACTCCAGTGCAAGCTCCAGCAGTCACAGTGGGTGCCCATCCTCTCCAGTTGGTGCAGTCTGCCAAACTCCTGGGTGTTACCATAGACCACCAACTGGACTGGAAGGCCCATGTAAACAACACAATCAAGGCAGCCTCGTACCGACTCTACATGCTAAGACGACTCAGGTCACTTGGGACACCCACGCCAGAGCTGAGGACCATCTACAACGCCTTTATTCTCTCCAAATTAACGTATGCGTCACCAGCCTGGTCGTCTTCTCTCAACTCTACTCAACAACGTCGGCTAGAGAAGGTACAGAAGAGGGCCTGCAGAATCATGCTCGGAGCAGACTACTCCTGCTACAAAAACGCTCTCTCCACCCTGGAAATGCCATCCCTCAGTGATCTCCACCACCAAGCACTAGCAAGGTTTGGCAGTGGACTACTGCACCATCCTCGTCATAGCCACCAACTGCCACATGCAGTCCCCGCCCACCTCACGCAGTCCGCCACTACAACAAAATTCAGCCACTAAAGCCCGCACTGATAAATAGACAACACCATCCATCTATTGTTAAAATAATAAAAACCTGATTTACTATGTACTGTACAGCCCTGTAAATGTATTGAACGTATATTATTATGTCTAAATCACATGTAAGTTTGTATATTTTCAGCCAGCAGCTGCAACTCTATCAATAAACCATTTATTATTATTATTATTATTATTATTATTATTATTATTATTATTATTATTATTACACCCACACACACCAAACACACACACACTTATAAAACACAAACACCCACCCACACTGAAGGGTCAAGACGTACCTGGTCAACTGTTAGTGGCCCATATAACCAGAATATCAACAAGTTCTCGCCAGGAGTTACAAGTTCATTTAGGAAAGGAATGGATTCAGTGTTGAACAGAGGTGAACAGTGGTGAACAGTCCTTAAGTCAGTGAAAAACAACTCGGCAGTAACAGCTGAGTCGTACCCAAGTTAACCTTCACACAGTGAGGTCCCAGGTACCCAGTGATAACTGCCCGTGAGACCCAACAACAACCAGCAGGATGTGTTAATCCGTCTACGATAGGAAGGCCTGGGACCACACCTCACTCATATAACACCATCTGTGAGGGAATTACTACACCACGTGAGGCCCCTCATAACACCATCTGTGAGGGTTACCACACCACGTCAGGTCCCTCATAACACCATCTGTGAGGGAGTTACTACACCACGTGGTACTATAACACCATCTGTGAGGGAATTACTACACCACGTGAGGCCCCTCATAACACCATCTGTGAGGGAATTACTACACCACGTGAGGTCCCTCATACTCTCTTACTAAATATTCTTCCTATATATATATAAATATTCTGGTTAAATTCGTACCATTACACCATCTGTGAGGGAATTACTACACCACGTCAGGTCCCTCATAACACCATCTGCGAGGGAATTACTACACCACGCCAGGTCCTCATCACCACGTCTGTGAGATATTACTGCAGTTCCTCTACCATCTGGGAGGGAGTTACTACACTACGTGTTTGCTGTTCAACACCTACATTAATCTGTATGTTCACTGGATGTTCCTTTACCTTTCTCTAATGAAGGCTTTTGTTAAACCACCAATTTATGTAATAAGTCATTTATGTCCAATGTATATTTTCAGCCTTCGGGCTGCAGAACTTTTTCAATAAACCGTTTATTATTATTATTATTATTATTATCATTACACACACAACTAACCATAACACTGTTCGATACATACTGACCTACCCTGAGCCATCCAAAACTGGCCTAATTGACCTGACTGACTGTGTTCTCAGGTAAGAGCAGGTGATGTTTATCTTACCGAAATCACCTGAAGATTAACCACCAGCTTAAGATTATTAACCTAACACTAACTCAACCTAACCTAACACTAACCTAACACTAACCTAACCTAACACTAACCTAACACTAACCTAACCTAACACTAACCTAACACTAACCTAACCAACACTCAACCTAACAACCTAACCTAACACTAACCTAACACTAACACTAACATCTAACAAATCACACATATACACAAGTCTCAGAGAGAGAGAGAGAGAGGAGAGGAGAGAGAGAGAGAGAGAGATTTCACCACACACACACAATGTCCTTCAACTATGTGACTCCATCAGCAATGACAACATTAATCCTCGCCACACAAGTCCCTCCTCCAACAACAGTCCTCCTCCAACACCAGTCCCTCCTCCAACACCAGCCTCTCCAACACAAGTCCCTCCTCCAACACCAGTCCCTCCTCCAACAACATTCCTCCTCCAACACCAGTCCCTCCCTCCAACAACAGTCCCTCCTCCAACACCAGCCTCCAACACCAGTCCCTCCTCCAACACCAGTCCCTCCTCCAACACCAGTCCCTCCTCCACACCCTCCTCCCACCAGTCCCTCCTCCAACAACAGTCCCTCCTCCAACACCAGTCCCTCCAACAACAGTCCTCCTCCAACACCAGTCCTCCTCCAACACCAGTCCCTCCTCCAACACCAGTCCTCTCCTCCACCCAGTCCCTCCTCCAACACAAGTCCTTCCAAACACCAGTCCTCCTCCAACAACAGTCCCTCCAACACCAGTCCCTCCTCCAACAACAGTCCTCCTCCAACACCAGTCTCCTCCAACACAAGTCTCAACACCAGTCCTCCAAACAAGTCCCTCCCAACAACAGTCCCTCCTCTCCCACCAGTCCTCCAACACCAGTCCTCCCTCCAACACAAGTCCCTCCTCCAACACCAGTCCTCCTTCCTCCAACAAGTCCCTCCTCCAACACCAGTCCCTCCTCCAACAACGTCCCTCCACCACCAGTCCTTCCTCCAACAACAGTCCCTCCTCCAACAATGGCCCTCCTCCAACACCAGTCCCTCCTCCAACCAGTCCTCCACACCAGTCCTCCTCCAACACCAGTCCCTCCTCCAACACCAGTCCCTCCAACACAAGTCCTCCTCCAACACCAGTCCTCCTCCAACAACAGTCCTCCCTCCAACACCAGTCCCTCCTCCAACACCAGTCCCTCCTCCAACACCAGTCCTCCTCCCAGTCTCCTCCAACACCAGTCAGTCCATCACGTCCGACGTTAACAAAGGTTTTAAATTAGAAGTCCAACTGCTCAGTCATCCGCCTCCTCACCCCACCACTACAGTGAAACTACAGTGCCACGGTCTACAATCAGTGCCAAGATCTAAAACTACTACAGTGCCACGGCACCTCATGCCACGATCTAAAACTGTCACACAGTGCCACGGTCACAACTACAGTGCCACGATCTAAAACAGTGCCACGGTCTACAACTACAGTGCCACGATTCAAAAACAGCATTGGTTCATAACAGTGATCTAAAAATATGCCACGGTTCAAAACTACAGTGCCCGGTTCACAACTTACAGTGCCACGATCTACAACTACAGTGCCACGTGTCTACAACTACAGTGCCACGATCTAAAACAGTGCCACGATCTAAAACAGTGCCACCGTAAATTAAGTGCACAGTCTACAACTACAGCCGCCACATAAGAAAGTGTTAAGGAGAATTATGTTAAAGTAGATTCTTAGTGTAAAGTTAATATGTTAGTTTAGTGATCTACCTTAAAGTTAATAGTTGGGTACATTTTAATATGATCAGTTAAGAGGAATGTTAACTTGTGAAACAGTAGACAAATCACAGTGACGGAAGTAGCATGTAAGTGAAGGATATATTTTATACTGCACAACAACAACAACAACAACAACAACAACAACAACAACAACAACAATAACAGCAGTACTGGTGTAGATACCTTTTCCTGTGTTGTTTTAATAATTGTCTGATGATTCATGTACCTGTGGTAAATACATGTTTACACACACACACACACACACACACACACACACACACACACCATAACTATAAAAGCACTTTAACATATCATTAGGATAATATTCCTCTCTCTCTCTGCCATGCACACACAGATAATAATTATGGACAGCAGTCCGTCATGCACAAGGAGTGCTGGTGCATGTTGCCCACACACACACACACACACACACACACACACACCACACACACACACACCCACCACCACACCCACAAACGGTACCTTCACAAGAGCGTGGCCATCCAACAGCGCGTGCCA